GAGATACTCATTTATTTCAGCCCTTTGTAGTCAGCATGTCTCTATCAAAATAAACCTATGTTTCTATGAAAAAATAAAATAAAAATACATGACCTGCCCAACTCATGGTAGAAAGAGGCTGACAGAGAATAAGATTTAGAGTTGTTTCTATAGGAGCTTTGAATAAATATGTATTTAAAACCCAAAAGTAAGGATGCTTTTATGGGTCAATCATTTTCTTATTCTGACTTTAATGGAACTCCATGCAAATAGCAAGGAAAAAATTCATAACTTATCAATAAAAGTATAGGCTTTTTCAAAGAACAAAAAATAAAACCATGAAGTATTTTGCTTAGGTGTCAGTTTTTATAGTTATATTTCTTGCCTGACACTAGACAAAAAGAAAAAAAATCAGTCTCACAAAAGTATTTCAAGCCTCACAAGGCAGAAAAAATCCCAGACAATTAAAGCGGTGTTCATTATTCGTTCCCACCATGCATTACTTACTTCCTGAACACCACATTCAAAACACTTATTTTCTTCTACTGGCTCTGGAGTTTGACAGTACCGGCAAACAGGGCACCTATCCAAGACACCAAAAGATAATGCAGATTAAATAGAAAACAGCTGTTATACAACCCAACAGTAAAAAACTTAATTTTAAATACTCCTCTAATATCTTTTATCATAACTAAAAATAGCACTCAAAATATACTTCTGAGCTATTTGCAAACAAAATGAAAACACACACCAAAATCTTGATAAAGCAGAGGAAAGGGAGAAATCTTCATCTGCCTCATACCTTTCCCACTCTCCTGTCTAAGGCTTACATAATCAAAGGATTACATAATGGGCTAGAATTAGGGACTTGAGACAAGTTATTAATTTTTTCATGTCTAGGTACCCATAAGGTATTTTTACTTTAAATAATCTACCTTATACCCACTTTGAAAAGTTTAAATTATTTAAAATGAATCCAGTCCTCTCAAGGTTGCTCCTAAGAGTTGAAACTAAACTCTAGTAAATTTCACCAAATTAAAAATAAAGTAAGTCAATGTACTTCCTGAAATACACATGACACATATAAGAAACATCATGTGGAAGAAGATATCAGCGCTCTGTGAGTACTCAAGTTTCAATTTACAAAATGCAATAAAAACAGCAGTGAAGTCCTAGCTCGTTTGGCTCAATGAATACAGCGTTGACCTGTGGACTGAAAGGTCCCCAGGTTTGACTCTGGTCAAAAGCACATGCCTGGGTTGCAGGCTCGATTCCCATTGTGGGGTGTACAGGAGGCAGCTGATCAATGATTCTCTCTCATTATTGATGTTTCTATCTCTCTCTCTCCCTCTCCCTTCCTCTCTGAAGTCAATAAAAATATATTTAAAAAAACAAACAAAAAACGACAGTGAAGCCAAACTCATAGATACATAGAGTAGAAAGATGGTGACCAGGGCCCAGGGGATAGGAAAATAGGAAGATGTCAAGGGATACAAAGTTTCAGTTATGTAAGACGACTAAGTTCCTAGAATTGGTGCACATTAATGTGACTACAGTTAATATTATACTGTGTACTTGAAATCTGCTAAGAGGGTAGATCTTGGGTGTTCTTACCACACACACAAAAAAAAAAAAAAGGAAAAAGGGAAATGGTAAAAGTATGAATGATGGATTATGTTAATTGGCTTGGTTGTGGTGAATATTTAATATTTCACAATGTATACGTAGATTGGGTCATCAAGTCATACATCTTAAATATGTAATTTCTGACTGTCAAATATACCTCAATAAAATCGAAAAAAGGGACGATGAAAAAATCCATTAACCCTTTTCAATTATACTTAAGACAAAGTAACTGAGTTAAGTACTAGCCATTAATATTTTTGTCAGATGGGTAAAGATGATACAAAGTGAATTATTGTTGAGGCTAACTGAATTGGCACAAGAAGAAAGAATGCTCAAGAAACAACTAGTATCAATTTGTTACCCAACTGCATAAATAAAACCAACAAAAGGAAATCAGTATGTAGAATATGTTAGAGATTCTTGTCACAGAAGGAGTCTGTGTTGCCCTAGCTGGTTTGGCTCAGTGGATAGAGCATCAGCCTGTGGACTGAAGGGTCCCAGGGTCGATTCTGGTCAAGGATACATGCCCAGGTTGCAGGCTTGATCCCCAGTAGGGGGCATACAGGAGGCAGCCAATCAATGATTCTCTCATCATTGATGTTTCTCTCTCCCTCTCCCTCCCCACTCCACCTCCCAGAAATCAATAAAAATATATATATATAAAAGAAAAGTCTGTGTTCCTAAGAGAAAGTTAAAGGATCCAGTCTGTCTCTTTCTTCAGTATCAACAGAAAAGACAGAAGACAACTTGAAGAAAAAACGAAATGGCCACTGGTAAGCAGCAGGCGTCTTGTCAAAGCTGGAAACTAGCCCCCTGCCATCCCTGTGGTCTGTGTGGCAGCTGTAGTAGCGGTTGGATAAGAAAACAACAAACTAATTCTGAGATCTAAGTGTCAGAATGGCCTTTGTGAACTGTAAGTATGACCCTGAGAATGAAAAGGAAAAAGGGAGCCCAGCCTGAGTGGCTCAGTGGTTGAGCGTTGACACATGAACCAGGAGCTCATGGTTCAATTCCCAGTCAGGGCACAAGCCCAGTTTCAGGCTTGATTCCCATTAGCGGATGTGCAGGAGGCAGCCAATCAATAATTCTCTCTTATCACTGATGTTTCAATCTCTCTCTCCCTCTTCCTTTGAAATCAATAAAAACATATATATTTTAAAGTCAAATACTTGGACTGGTTCACTTTTGGTGGTGGCTATTTTAATTCTGGGAAAGGTTAAGAGTGGGCTTTAATAGGGTTGGGAGATGAGCTTGCTCCTGTACTCACGTCGTGTCATCCCAGCGCTGCAAACACTGGCTGTGGAAGCTGTGGTTACATAACGTGGTGAGGATGCCATTCACGGACTCATCCATGCGCTCCAGACACACTGTGCACTTGGGGAGTTCGGTCAGATCCATCACAGGGAGACTGGCACCCTAGAATGAAACACCTCACATAAGCCCCACTCTTCATCCACCAGTTCTAATTTTTTAAAACAACAGTTTTCCTATTGCCCTTTGACTCCTGGAAGGATATTCTCAACATTATTGCTCTGTGCAAATAATTTAAAATTTTTATTCAAGCAACAAATACTGATTGAGCGCCTCTGATCTTCCCAGCACTGTGCTAGGCACTGGGGATACAGAGAACAAAGCAGACAAAGATCCCTGCCCTCACAGAGCTGACATTCTGGGAAGAGAGACTGCCTCCAAAACCTTAAAACAGAGAATCTAAAATGTCAACAGACTCCTAACTCTAAGTGTAAGGGTCTATGATTATAACAGAATACAAATGAAGAAAAGCAGCAGAGTCTGGCTGGCAGATGTGAGCGTCAACCTATGAACCAGGAAGTCACAGTTCAATTTAGGTCAGGACACATGCCCAGGTGGCCGGCTCTATCTCCAGTAGGGGGTGTGCAGGAGGCAGCCAATCAATGATTCTCTCATCATTGATGTTTCTCTCTATCCTCTCTAAAATAAATAAAAACATAAAAAATAAATTAGGATGGGGATTAAGGGTTGATATTTAAAATACAAACACTTCTTTTAGGCTTTAGGCAATGTTTCATTGATCTAGAATAGATGAACCTAATTTTCAATGATACAGATAATATCCTTTTATTTATTTATTTACATTTTTGGACAATTTTTAAAACGGACATAAAATTCACCAAAGTATACAATTCAGTGGGTGTTTTTTGTTTTGTTTTTTGGTTACTCACAAGTTTGAGCAACCATCACCACAACCTAATTCTAGAACATTTCTATCATCTTGAAAAGAAACCTCGTTTTCATCAGCAGTTACTCTCCTCTTACCCCGACCTCTGGCAATCATTCATCTACTTTCTGTCTCTATGGATTGGCCTATTTTGGACATTTCCGTAGATATCTTACTGTTCAACTTTATACCATTCTGATATGTATATCAAATATAAGGATTATTCATACTTACATCTTCAGATTTCAGTACTTCAGCCCTTTCCACATAGACCAGCTGGCAAACATCATCTTCTATTGAGTTGAACTGGCGGCCATTGCATGCCATATAAAAACTATCTGCATCAGCCTAGGTACACCAATGGGGAAAAGAAAAAAATTGAGAGCCTGAAAACGCGCTTTATATTCAAGATGCATAGCTTCAATTATTCTCTTCATTGTCTTTTAAAACTTATACTTGAGAGAGAAATCAACGGCCATAAGTAACATCTACAGAAGCAGGAAGCAGGTTCATAGGCTAATCGAACTCTGCAGCTCAATATCCTACATCTCTACAATGTTTCCTGACACATGATAGTTTTACTGGAACCAGAAGCAGCTACTAATGTGTAATAAGCTGACAGCTAGTATAATTTTATTATTTGACCACAATGGTCAACACTTCCCTTAATAGCAGTATTTTTTTTCTTCTCTAGTCAGCACTTTCATAGCAGCTGAAAGCAAAACACTTATATTTGCAAAGCTTGGAACCAAATCCTAATGGAAGATTGTTAGGGAATAGTCATTTTCAAAATATGTCAGCATCTATGTTCAAAAAAATAAAGGACATGTGGAACTGGAATGAAAAGCTCTCTTCAATAAACCAAGTAATAATGATACATGATAAGGATCCCGTAAGGAAATTTAAGCAACCCAGTGTGTAATACCAAAAGCAAAGCTCTTGGCTAAAATCAAGATGAATGAGCCTTTGAAATACTAAGCCTCCTTCCCTTGGAGTGAAAGATAGATGGAATTAGAAGAAAAAGTCCCTTGCAAAGGCATAAATGCATTTGTGAATATGGACACAAGTAAATCAAACCTAGACTAGCCTTAGTAGAAAGTAACAAAGAGATGATTTCAGTTTTTAAACTCAGTAATTTTTAGAGGCAGCTAGAGGCCAAGTCTTGTCTGGGTTTCACTCCCACACAGCCATTAGCCCAAACATTGGAAGTTGTGTGCTTTGGCCCTATCAAAGCAGACAGGCTGCTTGTGGGGAGGAAGAGTATCTGCAGAACAGTAAGATATCTACGGAAATGTCCAAAATAGGCCAATCCATAGAGACAGAAAGTAGATGAATGATTGCCAGAGGTCGGGGTAAGAGGAGAGTAACTGCTGATGAAAACGAGGTTTCTTTTCAAGATGATAGAAATGTTCTAGAATTAGGTTGTGGTGATGGTTGCTCAAACTTGTGAATAACATCTAAGAAGAGATTCAAGACTGTAGCAGGCAAAAATTGCCCTGGAGGTCTACCTTCATGGGGTTCTGAATCTTTAACAGCAAAAGCTTACAATGAGCTTTTCACGGCTTTAAATGTCATTCTAATGATGTAATCAAGTGTGGATTCTTGATTATTTATGCTTTCTTAATATGAGCAAGGGAGCTAACCAGCTGAGAAAGGACAACCAATTCTGAACAGTTATATTTAGGTGGGGGGGTAGGAAGGTTTTCTTTCAGGAAACAACCTAGTGTACAGACTACAATTGATTTTAACATCAAAATGTTAAAAGCTAGTTCTTCGATAATACATTTTAATACTAAGAAGAGGCAATCTAATGGCTTCCCCCATTCTTTAAAGAGTAATGACTTCTTGCCCTGACCGGTTTGGCTCAGTGGATAGAGTGTCGGCCTGCGGACTCAAGGGTTCCGGGTTCGATTCCGGCGAAGGGCATGTACCTTGGTTGTGGGCACATCCCCAGAAGTGGGTGTGCAGGAAGCAGCTGATCGATGTTTCTAACTCTCTATCCCTCTCCCTTCCTCTCTGTAAAAAATCAATAAAATATATTAAAAAAAAAAGAGTAATGACTTCTTCCTGAAATGTTTATAGATGAGGAAGCAGCACAGTGAGCAAATGGATTCATGTTCTGAGGAAAGTGATGGGCTGGGAATGAGGGCCACTGGTCAGCTCTTCAGGGTCCCAAGCACCAGGAGCTGCGCCAGCTGAGTGAGGAAAGGAAGACCCCCTCCTTGGGCCTCCAGCTCTGTAAATGCTCATTAAGCGACTATGCCTCCTTAGAGGAAGGAACAAGGTTTGTGTGACACAGGGCATGTGATGAATTCTATTCAGCACCAGATAAATTAATCCTTTCTGGAGGGAGTTGTTTATACCGAAGAAATATATTTTTTGAACACACTGATCTCTTCTTTAAAATGTTGGTATTGGAAATGTAGCTTCACTTTTTCAAATATTTACTGAGTACCTAGCATATGTCAGTAGAAAACAAAATACACATGGTTCCCACTTCAACCCACCACTGAAGTACACAAAAGCATGAAGCTAACTGCAAAATTCGCAAAATAAACAACTCTTTTATTTAAAATGTTTGCACTGTATAGAGCCCAAAATTTAAAGAAACCAGCTTTTGTTTTTTCCTTAGTCCTTCTTCCTACTGTTCCTGTCTCAGGATAAATTTGAGAAAAAGAAAAATCCATCATGATCAAGGTTTCTTTATTATCATGAAGATCACTATAGTATTGAGAACATATTTTTACTTCTCAAAAGAGGGTCTTGCTGGGCCACGGTTGCTCAGTGGTTGAGCGTAGACCCATGAACCACGAAGTCACGGTTGGATTCCTCGATCAGGGCACCTGCCCGGGTTGTGGGCTTGATCCCCAGTCTGAAGGCAGACGATCAATGATTTTCATCACTGATGTTTCTATCTCTCTCTCTCCCTTTCCCTTCCTCTCTGAATTCAATAAAATATATTTAAAAAAAGAGGGGTCTTTAAGGTTGCCCTAAGCATGCAAGTGAAAATGAGCCAACACACACTATCCTCTCAAAAGTTTTGTTCCCAAGAAATATGAAATTGACCTCCTGTCTTCCTGTGTCCTGATGAATTACAAATTCTTTAACTAAAGAGTAAATTTCCTAAAGGTCACAGTAAACTTTGTGAGCACATCCTATATAATAAAAGGCTAATATGCAAACAGACCAAACGGCAGAATGACTGGTCGCTATGAAGTGCACTGACCGACAGGGGACAGATGCTCAACGCAGGAGCTGCCTCCTGGTGGTGAGTGCACCAGAAGCCGGGCTCGTGGCTGGTGAGCACAGTGGCGGTGGCAGGAGCCTCTCCCGCCTCCATGGCAGCGTTAGGGACGTCTGACCCATGGGGAGCGGGCCTAAGCCACCAGTTGGACATCCCCCAAGGGCTCCTGGACTGTGAGAGGGCACAGGCCAGGCTGAGGGACCCACCGCCCCCAAGTGCACAAATTTTGTGCAACAGGTTTCTAGTCTCTTTATAATACCTCCAGCATAAAGCCAAGGCCAAAAGAAATTCATGAGGTTATAAAAGATAAAGAGAAGGTCCATTATTTTTTTTTTATTATTTTTTTATTGATTTCAGAGAGGAAAGAAGAGGGAGAGAGGGATAAAAACATCAATGATGAGACAGAATCATAGATTGGCTGCCTCCTGCACGCTCCCCATTGGGGATTGAGCTCACAACCCAGGCATGTGCCCTTGACTAGAATTGAACCCAGGACCCTTCAGTCCACAGGCCAATACTCTATCCATTGAGCCAAACCAGCTAGGGTGGTCCATTATTTCTTAATAATAATTCTCTGGTGAGAAAAAGGAATAAGAATATAGCCTGGCCGGTGTGGTTTAGTGTGGACCTATGAACCAGGAGGTCATGGTTCAATTCCTGATCAGGGCACATGCCCGGGTCACAGACTCAATCCTCAATGGGGGCATGCAGGAGGCAGCCAATCAATGATTCTCTCTCATCATTGATGTTTCTATCTCTCTTTTCCTTTTCCTTCCTCTCTGAAATCAATAAAAACATATTAAAAAAAATATAGTTAGCTGCCCAGGCTGTGGAATCAGGCTGCCTGGGCTTCAATTCCCAGCTCTGACAACTATTAGCTGTGTAGCTTTGGGCAAGGGACTTATTCACCCTTGTTTCCACAATTACATAAGTAACATAAAAACATCTACTTCATGGCATTATTGAGAGGATTCAAGGAGCTGATGCATGAAAAGCACTTAGCACAGGCCTGGCATCTATCTAAGCAAGTGTTCAACACGTGGTAACTATTGAGTCTATTATTTTCATTAGGGCTCAATAATAACACCAAGTCTTATACTAGGAGGATACTTGTAGGCCTTAGAAAGTCCCTGATAGGATGAGCCTCTGACCCTAAGATCCAGCATTAACGATAATACAACTCATGACACCAAAGTCAAGGGTTCTGTCCTCATGGGGAAGAGCATGTGGTAAGCTGTTTCAAAGTTTTAGAAAACATTCATCAACTTGAGCAACCTGCACTTGATCAAAAGACAGGTACAGAGCCAATGCATGAGTACAAAGAAAATGTATTAACAGTAATAGCAAATTCCCACAGCATTATCTGCACACTATGAAGCACTTGTTAGAAGAAAATTTGTGGGTTTATTAGACTTCAGACTAACAAATCTAATACGTTCCTAAACATTTTCTCCAATCTGTTTCTGTGATTTTTCCTTTTTCTGATCGGCTTTGTTAAGTAGGAGCAGTAACTAAATTACTGCCATTACACAATTTCTTGCAGACAGTGACTGTCTCCCCTTTCCCACACTTTCATACCACTCCTTAAGGTAAGAGGGGTACACCCTAGGGCAGTGATGGCGAACGTATGACATGCGTGTCAGAGGTGACACGCGAACTCATTTTTTTAGTTGATTTTTCTTTGTTAAATGGCATTTAAATATATAAAATAAATATCAAAAATATAAGTCTTTGACATCAGAGATAAGTGAGGGTTTTTCAAAATGCTAACACGCTGAGCTCAAAAGGTTCGCCATCACTGCCCTAGGGATTAAAAGTGAGGGGTCAAGCCGAAGCCGGTTTGGCTCAGTGGATGGAGTGTCGGCCTGCGGACTGAAGGGTCCCGGGTTCGATTCCGGTCGGGGGCATGTGCCTGGGTTGCGGGCACATCCCCAGTGGGAGATGTGCGGGAGGCGGCTGATCGATGTCTCGCTCTCATCGATGTTTCTGGCTCTCTGTCTCTCTCCCTTCCCCTCTGTGAAAAATCAATGAAATATATTGGAAAAAAAAAAAAAGTGAGGGGTCAATCCCTAGCTCAGTCACTTACATCTAGCTTTGTAACCCTTGGCAAATTCCCAAACTCGCTCAGCAGCTAGTTTCCTCATTTTGTAAAACAAGGATAACAACAGTACTTATCTGCCTCACAGGGTTTCTAGTGAGGATGAAATGAGATAACTCACATTAAGCATTTAGCACTGTGAATGGTACAGAACAAGTAGTCTATCTTATTATTACTTTTACCAGGTTTAAAAGGTTTAACATACCACTTGCCCATTTATTGTAAAACTTTTCAGTGACTTCGGGTCTCTTGACAATGAAAGCAGTTAAGTGCTTTTCCATTCTCAACTTGTAGGACAGTTGAAACATTTCTTTTAAATGTTTCGTTCAATGATAGGGTGCTTTGAAAGGTTAAAGATAACAATTGTGCACCCTCTTGTACACAGAACTCCATTCTAAGTGTTCTCTTTCTGTGGGCCATAGAACAGATAATATAACTCTCACTTCTCTTAACTTCCTTCCCATGAACAATGAATGGCTGCTACTGCTGTCAACATTGGATTTTCTATAACGAAGAAGGAAATGCCTAGTGGATCTTGCGTCATGGGCTCCTTTTCACCCACCAATTTCAGTGACCAGTCAAGAGACAAAGGCAAATGACCCCACAGGAACACCCATCTTTGCCAATCTGCAAATGAGGTGAGATTGAAGTAATTTTTGACAAAGCCGCATTTCAAAACTAATGAATAGACAAATATAACAGGCTATTAAAAATAAACACACAGACTGAATGAAACCTACAGATAAGGTAGCTCTTTAATAACCTGGATAACACCTAAAGCTTACTTCATTTTTATATGCATAAAGACATATGCATACTCCTAAGAATATCTAACATCTTTAGAACTGAGACACGTAAAGTATGAGTTATAATGCACAAGTGCTTTTAAAAACTGAAAATATCACCACTCTTTCAGTGTTTGTTTCTCTATTCTCTATTTCCAACCAGAATTATAGAGCATCTTTAATACGTCAAGGAATGTCACAAAAATCCCTCGTCACCAAAATTAAAAAAAAAAAGAGAGATCGATCTTATTTTCTAAAATGTGCCAAAGAAGGTCTTTTAAAAAGAGCATGAAAGAAGAAGGGGCACAAGTGTTATAATGGCAAACTGATAATTGCTGTCAACTTTTAAAAGTTTGGAAACTATTATTCTACTGGAATAGTTACTATTTGATAAAAAAAACAAAAAAACAAATACAACCCTAGATTTCATACCAAATCTGATTTATAAAAAAAGTATGGGTATGAATTAGGAAATTCAGTGTCTGCTAATTAATTTAGAAGTAATTCTAGAATTACAATACCCGAGAAGACAAGTTATGAATCTTAAGTGCAAAATGCTGTAAACCACACACAGCTAGTATTATACAATTTCAAAAACACAGTTTCTGTGGCAAAGAGATTTTTAGTATCTTAACTTTTACCTGTGCACTAAACTTTATCAGCACCATATATTGATTTGGAGTAGAGTCTCTGATGATTTTCATTTGTTCAATTACTTCATTAAATGGGGCGACAAACTTCATAAGGTCATGACTGGTCATTGTAGCAGGGACTGTGAGAATACACAGCATGGCACTACGCCTCACATCTTCTTTTAAGGAGGTCATCTTACTAATAAGACAACAATTAGACTGTCTTGAATAGACGTATAGTTAGTTCACACAACACTAATTAGACAACTTTTACGTCCAATAGGAAAAATAAAACATGTAATACTTCACATATCAATTAAACAGCTTATTATTTTATTTGAAAATCCATACTACATAGGTAAATGCAGAATCCCTTAAATATATCTGCCATGGAGTTTAAGGTAAGCTTCGTAATGTTCTACATTACACACACCAGTGAAATTTTTAATCTTTAGTGAAAAGCTTGTTATGGTTACAAATCTGCAGTAGGCAAATTTGCAGTTTGTTGTTTTATTTTCGTTAGTTGTTCTTGTTTAGTTTTTTAAATAATAATCTCTCACTCAGCTGGCATGGCTCAGTGATTGAGCACTGACGTATGAACCAGGAGGTCACGGGTTCTCCCAGTTAGGGCACCTGCCCCAGTTGTTGGCTCGATCCCCAGTGTGAGGCATGCAGGGGGCAACCAATCAATGATGCTCTCTCATCATATCTCTCTCCCTCCTCCTTCCTCTCTGAAATAAATAAAAATATATATTAAAAAAAATCTCTCATTGTGTAACTTGGAAGCACAATGCTAACTCTGGACTTCTCTTAAGGGTCTAGAAGATAAAAGAACTCTAAATATAAGAAAGAGAATTCTGAACCATGAAGATGTGACTCTGAAGATTACAGAAAGTGTTGCTGGGTTGTAAGCTAAAATGGGGGTGGGGAGAATTCTCCCTAGCCTTTTTGAAATGGTGCAAACTCACTTCAACAGCTGTGATTCCACATGGATACCTGAATATTCTGAGTATTCACTATTTCCCTGTAGGAACTTAGCATCCGAGTTAGGATAAGGATAGCCTTTAAAGAAATCAATTACTAATTATCCCAGAAGCTGATGGCCCAGCTTATAGATTTAGTCAAACGCTTCCTTTCTGTTGGCCTCCTGCAAGCCTACTGCTTGGACCACAGAAAAGGGTAAAAAGAGGTGATGAAATTGCTACCATTATCTGATTTCTTAGTTTCTTTCATAAAGATTTGGTGGGGATATGAGACTACTATGATGTTATGGATCATTTGTAATTTTCCTTTGCAATCTTCTTTCCTTTCCCTTTACCAATCATCTTGCATGCCTACCTTCTCAGGGAATATTTTCCTAGGAAGGCTATTTACACATTTCTTTTATAAGGAGAAGCTCTGACCCAATCTACAAGATTAACCAAATGTAAAACATTTAAGAATTCTCTCACACACAATATATGAAAGTACTATGTTTTTGAAGCTTAAAATACACACTTCCCTTCAGGGTAAAAGATTTTTCTCCTCTCTCAAGCAAAAAATAAACCAACTCAAAAGGAAAAAGGTTTTTCTTACTTTGTCTTATATAGATGCATAATACCATGAACTATTTCAACTGATGGATTTCCACTGAAGAATGAAATCTGGTCTGGAAGCTGTTTGGATGGAGAATCGGGAGCAGTATTTACACTTTCTTTACTTTGATCTTTACTTTTCTGTGCAGTGGGGGATGCTTCTGAAGACTTTCTTTCTTCCATTGCAGCTTTCAGGTCATCTTTCACAAATCAAAAATTAGCAGATTATAAAATGATAGGAAATATGCTGAAGGATTCTAATTAGATTAAAATTTTGAGTCAGAATAATGAACTCTGACAGAGAAATTGTCATGTATTAAGAACTACATTCACAGAACAGCCATATTTTGGGGCATCTCAACTTGAAAGTGCTCTTTCCTCCATAAAAATCCCATTATCGCCCTCAAGGTGACTCTTACATCTATCTATCTATAATAATAAAAGGGTAATATGCCAAATAGACCGGATGTCCTTCCTGATGAAGCCGGGGGCGGAGGGAAGCAGCCCGAGTCCTGGTTGCCTGCTGGTGGCAAGAGGAGGGAAGATCAGGTCCCAGGTGCCAGAGGGAAGCTGCTGCCAGCAGCCGGGGGAAGGAAGGCCTACTCTTGCACAAATTTTTGTGCATCGGACCTCTAGTATATATATAAAAGCCCAATATGCTAAGTGTCCGCCTGTTCGGTCAACCGCTCGACCAGTCTCTATGATGCACACTGACCACCGGGGCAGATGCTCTGACTGGTAGGTTAGCTTGCTGCTGGGGTCCAGCCTGTCCCTGATCAGAACTGGGCGAGAGGGACCAGACATGCCCTGTAGCCCTCCCACAGTCCCTCCCCAGCCTCTAAAATATTTCTACTAATGAATTTCCTTTCGATGTGCATGAATTCGTGTACTGGGCCTCTAGTTTGTTAATATCATAATAAAAGCAGGTGTCTTACATCATGCACTTTTAAATAGGACAAACATTCAGAGCTATTAAGTTTGAAAACCAACCCTACCAGTTCTAAGCACCTCCATGCTGGAGATGTAGTATACATCCACTCATCCACTCCCCTGGCTGGAGTGAGCTGGCAGAGCAGGGAGAGACACAACATGCTTATTTGGATTCATTCATGATCTGCCACTGACCTAGGTGGTAAGTAGCTCTCCTCACCGTACAGAGTTGTCGACCCAGATTGTTAGAATTAATTTAGAAGAAATATTTGGGGAAGTTGAAATGTGCCTTGGCAATCTCATGTAAGGCACACAGTCAGTGAAAGATAAAAGTATGCTAAAAAGCATGGGCTCACTGACCAACATGTGTCAACAGGCAACCAGAGGTTTACGTTACAAAAGAGTCTAGGGTTTTAGAAAACATACCTGGGTTGGACTTCATGGTCTCAATGATCACGTCTGTCATTTCTCGACGGCCAAGATGCTGATGTATGATTGCTGCTTTCTCCCCTGGTGACTTCCCTTCTAAACAGGCCACAGCTGAAGCTAGTGTCTTCTCTTTGATCTCCTCATCGGACATTTCCCCGGCTAAAGAACACATGAATGATTAATACCTGATAATAAAACAGGCTCTTTTCCACTCTTAATGTATCCACCGATAGGTTTCCCTTTTCTCTGCTGCTTTCCCGACGACGCCGTTGCAGTGTCCATCTCACTCACTTCTGGGGCTCCTGCAGTGCCCGGCAGACAGTCAGTCAATACCCAGTGCAATAAATTCAGAAACTCTGGGCTGTTCCAGGGAAATAATTCACTTCTAAAGCAATTTAATGAGAGCGATCCCTTCAAGGAGGTTTGACAGTGATTATGCCCAGATGCACCAAACTTTTTGTAATACCTAGTAAAGCACAATTGTGTGCTGAACCCAAAATAAAGTACCAAATCATTATCATTAATAAAGAAAACTTGCCGAAACCGGTTTGGCTCAGTGGATAGAGCTTCGGCCTGCGGACTGAAGGGTCCCAGGTTCAATTCCGGTCAGGGGCATGTACCTGGGTTGTGGGCACTTCCCCAGTGGGGTATGTGCAGGAGGCAGCTGATCGATGTTTCTCTCTCATCGATGTTTCTAACTCTCTCTCTCCCTTCCTCTCTGTGAAAAATCAATAATATATATATTTTTTAAAAAAAGATAGCTCCTCGCCCATAAAATAATACTCTATCTTTAATCTGCAGCTCCAACATTCACGTACTCAGGGACGTCTCCCACTGCTGCCACCCCTACCTGCCTCGGCCCCCCCCCCCCCCCCCCCCCCACACCGCCCCACCCCAAATGGCGCCTCCTGCAATAGTTTTCCAGACTGTTTCTTCTCCGCCTTCATAGTGGTGGTTCTCTCTTTATTCTGTAATTAATTCACCCGTCTCCCCCGGGATCTGCTGGTTCCATTACGGCGTGGACCACGTCTGGTTCTGCACACAAACTACAGCTCAGCAGACAGGGTGCGTTCGGTAAGCGTTTCGGGGTGCATGTTACGGTTCGGCAATGGTCTGAGGTCCAAGGAACGGCCACGGCCGCTCCGCTCTCACAGCCTCGGGGGGTCCTGGGGCCGGTGAGGAAGGGCTCCGGGTCTCCGAGGTAGAAGCCCAGTCTCCCGGATAAATCGCGGGCAAGTCACTTAATCACTGGGTTTTCCTGTCCCAGTTTGTGACCCGGGGCATCCACCAATCAAACCGGACAGGGTTGTTAAGACAAAATACACACAGTCGGGTTGTGGGCTACAGGAAATGCACCAACGTTCATTACAGGAACTGCCAGTGTTACACGGCGCCTAAATGAATAGTTTTTTTTTTTTTTTCCAAAGAGGAACGATTTAATTAAACCAGGGACCGTCCGCATCGCTGGGAATTCAGTCCCCGCCTTCACAAAGCCGAGAGGAAAGCGACTCACAAACTCGACTGTAACCGAGGGCGGGGCAGCGACGCGCCAGGTGTAAACAGAGTTCCCGTGGGCGGCGGCGGCAGGAGGGAGGGTCGGGCAGGGCCTCCTCCCGGAGCCACCTGGGGAGGCCCCCCAACCCTCAGCTTCTTCCTGAGGCAACAGCACTCCCCGGGACCCTCCCCAGGCCCGTCCTTGCGGAGGACAAGTCCCCCCCGGGGCCCAGGCGCCGGCGGGGCGGAGGGGCGGCGAG